CAAAAATATGAAAGGACTTCTCCCCTGAGGAAAAGCTGTTGCCAAAAAGCTTCCTCTTTCCACAAAGCAACAAACCTGCAGCTTTCTATTTTGTTTTGAAATCTGGAATGTCATAAAAAGTGCAGAAGCCCCCAACACTCATTATCCCTGCCAAGTATTTTCAGGACTCTCTAACAGGAGACTTACAGATGAAAAGGTCAATGAACTGAAACTTGCAAATGTGGCCACCCAGCTAATTAGTAGTAAGCTAATGGCACAGAATAGCACCCATTCACATAGACAAGGTCTTTAAAGATATTAACAGTTAAATGTTGTGATAAGTTTTAATAAACTTGAGAGTGATTAAATCATTACATTTAAAGTTTACTGAGTTTGCCAAGAAATCTCTGATTGCATTAGTATTCTCTTAAATCTACAAATTCCCCTCTATCATTTCTGAGGATTTGCAGGATTACACTAGCTTCAGCTATAAAAATCCATCAAACCGATGCATATTCATCAAGTGGCTGCTCTAAATAGATTGGTAACAGAACCAAGACAAGCACCATCAAAGAAAGCAAGAACCTAAGCAAACCACAGCCTCAGTGAGTGCCAACCCAGATAATGGAAGCGTTGTGTACTCTTGAGCAATGAGTAATAAAATTGCCTCTAGCTCTTACTAATATAGTTTTATAATTTTAAATTTTTTCAAAAAGCGCCAGAAATTAAGGAGCATACCAATGTAGTATAATATCCTCCATTCTTATATGTGCTTTGCATGCTGTCATATAAAAACATTATCAGAAAAAACAGTGTATTAAAATCTACCAGCCATTGCCATGTTAGAACTCAAAATATTTTAAAACACCACACGAGTCAAATCTGTCTCATGATGCCCTCCCCCAGGATGCCAAATCTAAAAGCTCTGTGCAGCCAGGATGGAGGCTGAGGGTGGCAGGGGGCAGCAGGGCTGCAATACAGGGCATGGATCAACTCCATTGAGGAAATTTAGAAGAGCAAGCAAGCCTGGAAGTAGAAAAGGTTAGCACCACACTTCAAACCCCGTGGAGGGCGATGAGTATATACAATAAAGGTTTTATAGATTCTCCCAGGGCAAGGTGAGGAACTAGACACATGCAAGGGTTCTTCAAAAATGAGAACTGGGCATTTAGCCTAATGATTAAGATGCCAAGACCCGATATCTTGAGTAGTTTGGGTCAATCCTTGGTTGCAGCTTCCAACTTTTGTGTCCTATCAATGCAGATCCCAGGAAGCAGAAAAGAAGTCTCAGGGAAGTGGGGTCCTGCCACATCTTGGGAAGCTCCAGATTATAGCCCAAGTTCCCAACTTCAGACCAACGGAGCGCTGGCCATTTAAGGAATTCCAGGACTGAGGTGGCAGGTGGTAGTGCTGGCACTCACTCATTTCTGCCTCTCAAAAAATATTTTCTGGGAGGGACGGGAAAGCTATTACCAACAAATGTATACTATGAAAAAACTATACTCATATTTCAACTTTTTGAACTCATATTTTTATCTTACTTTTCCTGAATATAAAGGATTTATTTGTTTATTATATAAAGTAGAACAACAGAGAAAGAAGAAATGAAAGATTTTGCATCTGATCGTTCACTCCCTGGAGACCACAACAGCCAACGCTGTGCCAGGCTAACACCAGCAGCCCTCCCCATCAGTGTCTCCCATCTGGCTTGCAGAAACCTGGATTGAAAGTGTAGCTAGGACTAAGTCCACCTGTAGGATACCAGGAGTAGCAATGCAAGCACAAGCTTAATCTACTGTGCCACAAAGTTCACTCCTAATGAGAATTTTGAAATCTCATTCAAAGTAGGCATAATTGTGCCCCTACTCCAAATATGCCCAAGTCCTCACTCTTTCCTGCACCACTACCCCATTGCGTTTTTTGAATGCTTTACATTTACAAAAATATTTTACAGACATGACTAATGACCTTCAAATTTGAACACCCTAGGAAGCTCAACTTAATCAGCTGAAAATTCACAATCAGAAAACTATTCCATGGTCAGAAAAAAAGATTGACTTTAAAGATGAAAAGATTCAAGAGCCAAGGACTGGAGCAGTCTCTGGAAACTGAAATTAATCAAGGAAATGAACCAATTATCCTCCAGAGTCCCTAAATCCCAACAGTCCTGCCAACACCCTCATTGTGGCCCAGAGAAATCCCTACTGGACATTGATAAAAGTATACTACAATAAATTTGAGTTTTTCTAAGTCAGTTTTATAGTTATGCATGTTAAAGTACTATTACAAACCCAATATTAATGCATAAATGTTGGCAAAAACATTCATAGACCTCCCTGAAATTTACCCACAGACAGATGATCTCCTGTACTAGGAAGAGTACAACATACAATACACTCAGAGCTGCAGTTACGAAACTCTTTGATGTGCACGGAAACCTAAAGCTCACCATAAATTCAACTAACCCCCAAATCCCTCTTCTACAAGGGTAGGCTCATTCTCTGAAGACTAACCACTCCTTCTAGTCTAATTTAACAGATGCAGGACCTTTTGCGGGTTCCTTGCTACAGAAAGAGCTTGCCTCTGTCACTTGCACTGTTCACTAGGTTAACAATGCCCTCCCCACTTTCAGAAAGTTGGCATTTCACACTTGCTGATATTTAGCCTGGTTTCCTCTCTTGAATTTGACCTAGCAATGACATGCTGTATTACAGTATCATGTCTATCAAGATGTTAAAAGGCATAATTTGCCTGAACTTGGTCATGTGCTGGCTTAAACAGGAGAGGAATGCTATCAGGGATGTGAGCTACCTGACTCAAAGTTGTTTTTAGTCCCAGATCCTGTTTCACCAGTTCATCAAATTTCACAATCCCTGTAATACTTTGAGACAGTTTTTTATAAAGTTTCATTAGAATATCCCTGGGTGGCGCCACCATTTATCTAATAAATAACAGTAAATGTTAATGGTTACCAACCCAACTACTAAATTTAATATTACCAGATATAGCTGGCCTAACAGTGCTCCAGACCTGTGACTTAGCACCAGATCCTGTGACTGCTTATGCTGGAACTTAGAACCTTCTGGAATGCTGCAATCTCGGAAAGCTAAATACTATAAATGTGGAGAATAGACTTTAGAGGAAGAATAATAAATATTTGGGGGTCCTAAGGAGGTTTGTTAAGGAGGCGATCAAAACCACATCTGCTTTTGCCAGGAAAAACTTAAAATCTATTGGAGATTAAAACACAACACTTACTTAATGAGGAAGAAAGCCAACTTTCTCATTTCTTTTCCTGGCATGCAGAGGAGGTATAGGAGTCTCCTAAGTTTCTACATAAACATCTCTCTCTCAGTATATGTATTCATCTTTCTAACTTCTGAAGCAAACTTTCATGGATCTCTGAGAATCTAAACAAAAGGTAATTTCTCCCATATCCACTGTTAAGAATCACTGCTCTGAACACCCATGGAACTATTCTGTTTCAGCACTCAATAGCTTAGTTCTTATCTAGCCCAATACTAATGATTTCCACCACAGAGTACTACAGAGTCTCTTACTTCCATCTATCAACACTAAAATCACAACTGATGGACTACAAAATGGTTGCAAGTTAGTTAAATGTGAAAAAATTAAATTGTAAATACCATTTTCCTTTATATGACTTTTGCTGAATAGCCATCCCCTGAAGGACATACACAAGCAAAAATACACAAAAATCATACACACACACACAAAGAAAAGCCAAGTAACTTTGGTTTTTGTTTGTTTTGCTTTTATTCTATTTTAAAATATGCATGGGAATTAGTTTATTTTGTTCTGCCTGGGAAAGGCACTCATGGGACTCACGCAGGAGCGACAAGGTCATTGTCTACACGTATTCTAACCAAAACTGCTTTAGTACAGTCCGCTTCAAATACAAGGGAAAATGTCCCAATGCTCAGAGAAAGAACAAGGCTGAGTCCAAGAGGTAGAGGTACTAGACCTGGGATCAGGTAAAACAAGGATAAAAGGGAGTAACTTGAAGCCTTTTTAAAAAAAAAAAATCCTTTAGGAATTCTATGATTCTAAGTTCAGTATGTTTGATATTTTAAAGCATAATCACATAGCACAGCCCCACTTCTCTGTAGTTGGTTCATTTAGACTGTGTTGCCTCAGGAAAAGATCTAAAGGTCAAGCTCAGAAGCACAGAACACCCTTTCTACTGAGTCAGGGCTATGATTACACTGTACACAAGATCCCTCAAGACAGCTGACCCAACTAGTGTGTGAATGCTTCCTTCTGTTTATTTCCAGAAGAGAGTTTCCATTGACAGCTGCAGTGCCAGGCTCCCACCAGAATCCTATGCCAGCCTTTCTGCAGGCAGCTCTCCACTCATGCTCTCATTTTGGATCCAGGACCATCTCCAAGAGGCTAGGAAGGCCAGTTTTCAGACAGCTTCAGAGCTAAGGTCACTGGCTGACACTTGGCTGAAGACAGAAGATGCACCTGCCGTGCCATACTCCAACACTGGCAGGTTTCAAATTTTGGCTAGCCGTTTTGAGTTATGCAACATCAGGCAAGCACCTTACTGTCTCTTGGCCTCAGGCTTCTCTCTAAAATGGGGCTGCTGGTACCCAACTTTCCAAGCCAGTAGAAAAAGCTAAGTAAAATAATGAGTGAAGAGCAATCAGCCTGATGCCTACATGTTTATCATTTATTGTTAGCACAGAGAAAAAAATTAATCCCCTGTGGCATGGAATAGAGGCAGAATAAATGAAAACAGTGTTTCTTTCCAAAGGCAGGACCTGTCTCTGCTCCTGGCTGAATCTAAAGTATAATTATCCTCAAATGGAAACCAGAACAGATTGGCTGCATTTCTCTTAGATTCCAGGAGTCTTCTGCTAGACCTTCTGAAAGCAGTTTCTCTGACTAGCAGGAACAAAAGTCAGCAAGCTTTGAGCTGTGTAGAGGTAGCAGTGGGCTTCCCTGGTAAAGCACAAAGCCAAAGCACAGCACAGTTTCTGACAGTGAAGGCCCACCTTGGTTGAGGTCGCACTGTTTCTTGGCATCTGAAGGCATTGTTTTGTGGACTCGCATGAGCTGGCACTCCTGCTCTGTCCTGAAACTCTGACTGGCTGGGCACCACATGCTCCGTCTCCTGCAAGAAGAAAATAGCAAACCAAGGTGAGCTGCCAGGAGCCATCAGTTCCACAGCCTTCTTCAGTGGGGAATGGGGCAGAGGGCAGGATCGGGGGTGGTCTTAGGGCAGGGGAGCAGCAACCCAATGTCATCAACTGATTGTAGAGTTAAGAAGTTACTTCACTGGTTTGAAATTGAAAAAGTCTCTGTCAGTAGCTACAAGATTAGAAGATTAAAGGAAAAAATAACCCAAGATATGATGTAGTCAAATAATGAAAAATTCACAAGCTCTAGTGAAAATGTTCTGAAAAAATTGTTAATGAATGGATTTCTGTGAAAATTTGTAGAACATCAATAGCATAAGTTCCCTTTTTGAAAAACAGAAATGTATAAACATCCACACATAGGCATGCACAAACGGGTCAGAATAATTCAAAGCAAAATCTTATCAGTGATTACCCCTAAAATATAATTTTTCCTTCTTATTCCTAAATTTTCTATAAGAAAGTTTGCCTGAAATAATAAATTTAAATGACATTTTTAAGCTTCCCACTACAATGCTGTAAACCCCTATGGATCGTGTCCCAGCCACATCCAATCCTGGTCCCTGCTAATGTACCTTTTTACCTGAAAAAAAAAAAAACTACTAGAAATCTAGCTTTCTTCCATTTTTCTAACATCATGCAAAGCATCCAAGCAGTTAGGTGAATATGTCTGACAGTGCAATATTTTGTGGTGACAACAGAGACCCTGCCTCAATAGGTCAGCTGTCTTAGAAATCATTTTTCCAGGGCCCGGCGTGGTAGTCTAGTGGCTAAAGTCCTCACCTTGCATGCACTGGGTATGAGTGCCAGTTCTAATCCCAGCAGCCCACTTCCCATCCAACTCTACCTGGGGCTGGGAAAGCAGTCAAGGATGACTCAAGCCCTTGGGACCCTGCACCTGCGAGGGAGACCCAGAAGATGCTCCTGGCTCCTCACTTCAGATTGGCTCAGCCCTAGCCATTGTGGTCACTTGGGTAATGAATCAACAGACAGAAAATCTTCTTCTCTGTCTCTCCTCCTCTCTGTACATATGACTTTCCAATAAAAATAAATAAATCTTAAAAAAAAAACCCAAAAACCTTGCTTTAATCTTCCAAGCATTTAGCTAAGTCAAAATGCTTCACACGAAGTATTAGTCTTCACTAGCCCCTTGGTCTTAGTTGTTTGTGAAAACTACAGCTAACTTAATCACAGATGAGTTCTGTCACACAATGATTTCCAAGTGGGACAGCTTTGCTTCCTACTTCTTTCCTGTGTGACCCTGATCCAGTAAAATAAGCAATCTGGGCCTCAGTTTCTGCTTGTAAAATGTGGATAACATCAGCAACCCCCAAAAGCTGTTAAGTAATGTCATTAGATTCTTGCCAAGGAGAGGCACACAGTGGAGTGGCCCTGTTGATGAGGATAGCATTTCTTGTAGGAAAATTCCTTCACTTCAATGTACTGAAGCTAATGCTTAGGAAATCCTTGAAAATTTGACCAAAAAGACTGTGATAGAAGGAATTTTTTTTTTTCCTTTTTGGGGTTTTTTTTTTTTTTTTGGTGGCAGAATGCTTGCTTGATGTCTTTAAAGTGACATTAATATTATTTTAAGCAATTCTGATGTACACCTTTTGAGACAGCCCTTGTAACCACTCAAAAGTTAATAATTTATATTTTAAATCTTCACTATTTTGGAAAAGAATTTTGATTTGTTTAATCATAGAGAGTACCTTATCTAACATTTTGAGCCCCCAAGAGGTTGAGAAAGCCATATCCTGTTGCATTCCCCAAGATCTAATGACCTATCTTACAGCTAGCAAGTGGGAATGTTAGCAAAGTACTTCCAGCATCAGCTCAGGTGAGAGATCTGAAAGTATGCAACAGAGAAGTGTTCTCTGGAATGGGTGAATCAGACATCCTTGAGGACAGCTAACACTTCAATCCCTGATTCAAATGAAGACAAAAGTGGCTGTTCCAGCTTTGATTCTTTTGCCTGTTATGAATTCCAAGTTCAAGATGGACTGGAGAGTTAGGAATCAGAACAGAGAAGGCCACAATGTGGGACACATGCCTGATTGTAATTACAGGCTGCCGTTGACAATGCTCAGTAAGCTGAGCCTTCAAAGTGCTATTCCCTAAAGCTCCATCAGATCAAAAACCCAAGTTCAACCTCTCTCTCAGAAAATACTGAAGATATTCTTCCTTCCCAAGCTTCTCCTCATCACAAGGAACACTACCACTCAAGAAGAAACTAAAGATTTTCTTGTAATCCCTTACGCTCCATTATCTCTTCATGTAATTCCCTAGTATGCACCAAAGACACAACAAACCTGACATGACAATCAATGAACCTCCACGTAAGCTTTGCTTTGAAGCTCCAAGTTTCTTGACCAAGCGCTCAGCAATCAGGAAACAGAAAACTACCCTGCTGTGTCCTAAGAGAGTACCTGACCAATACAGACTGATAGGGAATAATCACTATTTTACACTTTGAGGCTGTTGCACAGAAGTAGAAACTGTAACACACTACTTTTCCTGTAAGATGTCATCCATTCTAAAAGCCAATATCTGTTTGATTAAACAGCTTTTCACAAAATATATTGTTATTAAATGCCTTCATTAATTTTAAGATACACCCAGACATGAGAAAGGTGAAGCCTGATGTGTTTGTTGGCATCGAGGAACTACCGAGCATGCCCAGTAGAACATGGCATCCAATACAGACACAAGAACTGTCTAGAGGATACTTCCAGAAAAAGCAACTGAGTTACTCTGGATGACTCAGCAGCCTCACAGGCATTAGGAGGGGAGGGGCAAGCCATTCTTTAATTGTCTGCACTTAAAAAGTTAATTCTGTTTTTCCTTAAAAGAGACAAGCAGAAAGGAATATTTTATTGGTTTAACAGAACAATAACTTTCAAAGGTGTTATACTTCTAGTCATCATTTATTCCTAAAGATTGACAAACGGGGGAAAATATAAAATGGTAACAGTAGTGTTCAATGGATTTTATCTGTCACCATGACAAAGCTTTAACCAGACACCCGGGAGAATGGGGGTTCACCTCCTTGTTGAGCCAAAATCTCTGTCCTAGTTGGACTCTGCTGCTCAGTCAGTGCCAAGTTTAACCAAGGATGCCAAACAAAGTCCTTAGAGGAAAAAAAACATACTTATGGAGAAGTGAGAATGAACATCTTCTCCCCAAAGACAACAGTATTTGAACAAGAAATAATGAATACATTTGTTTACCTTTGTCCATTTAAGATCATCACATTTTTAGAAAGATATATTTATGCCAGTCTCTGTATTTATGCTGGTTTGGAGGGAGGGAGGAGACAAGACCTACTCCTTCCTGCCTGTCTTCCTGAGACCTTCCGACACTCAGCTCAGATGGTTACCCTCCCCCCGAAAAAATGCATCCTAAATCCTTTCCCACTTTTAACTGATTTCTCCACCTATTACTAGAAATTCATCCTAAAGTCAGTCTTGGTGGAATAATTTGTTGGTTACTTACTAAATACAGCTATCATGATGTTGACTAGTCATATTTTTAAGTTGTCCTTAAAGTAAGTGTCATTTTGGCTATTTTCTCACTTATAGGCAAAAGTGAGTATAAAAAGTATAGTATAGGGCCCGGTGCAGTGGCGCAAGTGGTTAAGGTCCTCGCCTTGAATGCCCGGGATCCCATATGGGCGCCAGATCTATCCCAGCAGCCCCGCTTCCCTTCCGGCTCCCTGACTGTGGCTCGGGAAAGCAGTCGAGGAAGGCTCAAAGCCTTGGGACCCTGCACCCGCGTGGGAGACCCAGAAGAGTCTCCTGGCTTCGGATTGGCATAGCATCGGCTGTTGCGCTCACTTGGGGAGTGAATCATTGGACAGAAGATCTTCCTCTCTGTCTCTCCTCCTCTCTGTATATCCGCCTTTCCAATAAAAAAAAAAGTATAGTATACATGGCAAGTATACATGGCAAGAACAGTGACCTATTAACTTGAGGGTCTTGAAATCCAAGCTTTTTATGAAAAACTAGCAAGTTCAAAGAAGCAATGGTAAAATATGATATTTTGTGCTTATGTGATTTTAGTGAGCTCTTACATGATTTCAGCTACCTCTTATAGAACTTGGGAAAATTTAGTTTCGCTTCGATGGTATGATTATAGTTTCAGGTTCTTCCAACTTTCTCAATTTGGACAAATCCATAGCCAACAAGAAAAAGAAGAGCTTTCCAACCTAACTCCAGTTCTTGCCCATCTGCTCTAGCTTGATACATGGCACCATTCAGTCTCAAAGACACATATAACTTTTAAATAGTTCTCCCAAGAGGCAAGCAAGCAGTCAAACCATTAAGTCTTTTCTTCTTCCCATGCTTGAGTTTTTTCTATGCCCATTGTACTCTAAAATTAATACAACTTTCAACAGAGAGGAAAGATACAGAAACATCTTCCATGTATTGGTTCTGCTTCTCATGACCAAAATGGCTGGGGCCTGGCCTGCCCAAATTCAGGAGCTTGGAATTCTACCCAGCTCCTCCACTAAAGTACAGAATTTCAGGCATTTGGTCCATCCATCACTATTTTCCCAGGCATATTGATTTTGGATATGGATCATCCCATAGCAGCCAGAATTTATGGTGCTCTAATATGGATGGCATCACGGATGGTGGCTTAACCAACTATACCAAAACACTGCCCTGACCATCCCCTACTTGGAGGGGAGTGTCTGAGTTGTGTTGAACATCTTGTAGTTCATTTAATGAAAAGGGAACTGCACCCTAACAAAGGGGAGATTTTTCTGAGAGTAAGTAGAGGTTTTCCAGAACCTAGCTACAACCCATTCAGTTCATATGAATTCCAGTGCTTCCCTCCAGGCCACTAGCAGATGTGTCATTTAACATACTTTGGTATTACAATAAGCTTTTGATGAGCTTCAGATCAACCTAGCTTAGCCTTGTCCTAATAAACTGGTCTAGGTAGGAGGTCTGTTTCTTTCCAGAGAAAA